CAGATCCCCGGCGTCAAGTACGTGCCGCTCGTTGGCAAGGTCACAGTTGCGATGCTCGAGCGCAACCTCATGCGCCTCTATGAGAACTTTCACATGAAGCCCCGCAAGATGTGGCAGTAAGCAGTAGCCAAGTAACCAATAGATGATTTTTACGCAATGCCACACTGTTGTCCCCAGCAGAGTCCACGGCATAGTATCGATCTCTGTCTCGATGCCTTCGCTGCACCAGCCCTTGCACTGCATCTTGCTCCCTGTCATATATACATCGACTACGTAGTAGTACACTGTAGCAAGGCCATAACTATATTTATGGCCTTGGTAGTAGTATGGAAAAGAGCACGAAGCTAACACCTACACGACGCGGTCGGCTCTTCAAAAGCGTCTGATCCAATCGTCACAACAGCGGGCGTACGGGGCTTGAGCCACCGCCGAGCGGCAGTGCTTGTTGAAGCGCTTCTGGAGCTTCGCCTTCGCAATATCCAAGGTCGTAGCGACATTCAGGTCCAGGCACACAATGGCCACCGTGGCACGCCACCGGTACGTCTTGCCGCGAAGTCGCGGTAGGCGCGCATCGCCTGTCTCGCGGCCCGAGTAGATGGAAAGCCGAGCGAGCCGGTCGAATTGTACGCAACGGCCAAGCACGAGACGTCCAAGGTCAGGCAGTCCTGGACCCCCTTGATGTACGTCGCATACAACACCTTGTCAGCATTCGCAGCGTGGATCGATGGACCACAGCAATGTACGAGGTGCGTGACGTTGGCGCTGAATCCAGGCGTGACGACGGCGCTCGCTGTGCTACTACCCGCAAAGTGCAGGCGCGCAATGTGGCCGTGGCAGCATAGGTGGCTGAGTCACCGCTTGGCGGCATGGACTATTAATATTAAAAGTCGACAAAAACGTCGGTTGGGCACCTCGGCAGCTGTCAAGATGGCGTAGCGCTCTAAGAATACCAGAAGCATCGCCACAACGCAAATAGCTTCCTCGAGCACGGACCAGCTTGAGCGTCAACACAAAGCGGATGCGATTGCAGAGCCCGGAAACAGTACGTCGCCATGGTCCCTTTCCAACACGCTAACTCGATGTAGCACGACCTAGTGTACCTTAACGATACGTTTGTCGCGCATCAGCTCTTGGACTCGGCCAAACGGTAGTTTCTTGTCGAGTGTGCTTCATGGCGATACTATGGTGCGATGCCATTAGAACGCACCTCAGCTTTGATATGGACAGTGACGATGACGAAGACGACGATGATGAGAGTCGCACTTGTACCGACAACCAGGACCACAAACTATTGGACGGCTGCAGTACCAAACACACAGGCGAGGCGCCGCGCGTCGTGCACCACCGTAAGCGGCGCCGCATCAAGCACAACGGCGTTCATGCGATCTTATTCCCGCTTCGCGACTCTACTTTTGGCGCCAAGCTTTGTACCAAACCAACTGGAACAACAAAGCAAATAAGCCCCATAAAGCCGCTCGTGCGCGATGTTGCGACACAAATGGAATCGTTTGGCGACGCGGTGCCACCGCCATCGCGACAAGAAGAGAGCTCTGCCCCAAGCCGTCTCCAAGCCGGTGTGCATCTCCTGTCTAGATGACATTGGTTTGATTTGGCTCGTAGCGCTTTTGTGGGCTGTGACAACGTGGCAGTGTACGACAATGACACAACGCGTGTCGATAGCAGCGGCCGTAGCTACCCCCTTCCTACTGCGATGCACCAAGGTCTCGCTCAGTAGCAAAGCTTTCACGAGACGTTAACGAACCGACGAAACACGAGGTGCAATCCACTCATAACCCAAACGCAAGATTTTGGCACTGTCGATGCGAACAACGCGTCGCGTTGGTCATGTGTAATTCGCACATGAACAGTTTACTGCTTGCACAGTGCAAGGACTAAACCCGTGCTGGTAAACAGCACAACTGTATTTTCAACATTGAAACCCCCTAATTTTTACCTGGCCAGTACCGGTACCGTGGAGCTCGCCAATATCGTTTCATGGCACCAGTCTCATGCCGGAGTTTTTCCGGCCCGCCAACAGCTGTTTCAGTTCCCGCTTTCAAGTCATGGACGACGACGGCGCCGTGCCGATTGTCGATGCCGCCGACTTGTCGTATGAAGCGTTCTGCGCCCAGTTCATGGCTCGGAACCGACCGGTTATCATCACCAACGTTGGCGCCGACTGGCCCGCCCGCGTCGAGTGGTGTGACCGCTCCGGGCTGCGTCTTGAGACGCTCAGCGCTCGCTACGGCCACGCGTTGGCACCAGTACGACGCATCTTTCTCCACGCAGGACTTATTACGTTGTACGCTAGGTTGTTGGCAAGTCCACCAAGTATGGCGACGAGTCGCGAGACGATGTAGCAGTTGGTACTGAGCCTGGTTGCGTTTGGTTCTAAGGCCCCGTAGCCACGTATTTGGATTGGCTCGCGTCAGGGCAGGCTGAAGCCGACCAGCTCTACCTCAAAGACTGGCATTTCACGCGCGACTTTCCAAAGGACAGGATCTACACGTAGCCTCCCATCACCCGCGTGGGCACTATGACTACGACGACATGGTAGAACGCCCAAGTACTTTGCTGATGACTGGCTCAATTGGTACGGCGGATATAGTCAACTTTGTATCGATGTTTTCTGCTAGGTGGTGGGACGAAAAAGCTGCAGCACTGTCAGCAACGTCTGTGGGGCTTGATGACTACCGGTTTGTGTACCTTGGTATGAAGCGCCGGTGCTTCGAGGGTTTTGACTCGACACGTGCAGGACCGCGAGGCTCCTTCACGCCTCTCCACCATGATGTATTTCAGTCGTACAGGTCCTAGTACATCACAGCGTTGGGTAGCCTTGACCAACTTCACGTGTTAGCTGGTCCATCAATATGACGGGGCAAAAAGAGTGGCTGTTGTTCCCGCCGTCCGAGGTCGAAGAAACAATGCTATTGAGTCGACGCACCTCACGCATGTGCTCAGACACCAAAGTTGCTCGACAAATTTGGTCGCGTGGTCCTTTCCAACTTTCAAGAAATTGATCCCGTCCAGTTTCCTCGTGCCCACACCGCCAAGCACTTGCGAGTGCTTCAGGTAGACCAGCTAGCAACAACCAAACAAGTCATTCTTTGGCGCCACGTAGCCCCCGGGGGCAGCGCTCTTCGTGCCGAGTGGCTGGTACCACCAAGTGACCAACACGGCGACGACACTGTCGATCAACCACAACTGGTTCAACGCGTACAACTTGCCACTGGTCGGGCGTTGCAAACATGAATGCGCCTCATGGCTTCGTAGATCTGGGCGTACTTTCAAGAGCAACTCGTGGCTGTCGAAAGAGAGATCGAACACTGCCGGTAAACGCCGACTGACTCGGTACCGAGCATAACCTTGCGCCAGGGATGGCTTCGACTCGGACTCTGACTGGATCCTCCATGTGACAACACATCGTACACCACAAATCTCTCACCGCGCGGATAGTGCCAGCTGCTGCTGCGTGCCAACATTGGCATGGACTTTAACGAGCTCTGCGCGCTGCTGGAGGCCCGTGCAGCCATCTCGACGGCGCCGTTTGATGTGGCGCAGGTACCCTATTCTTACCTTCTGCCGCTAATATGGCTTATGGGTGCACTAGATCTATCAAGTCCTCGGACCACTGCGCGTGCATCCAGCCATCAACAGCAGCAAGTAAGCGCATAAATAGTTGTCGAGGTAATTAGACTACAAAGAAAGCTGCGACTCACAACGGCTCGAGACTGATCATCTCCGTCGAGAGGTACGCGGACGACGCAATCGTTGGGCGGGTTTCAACAACCCCAAGCTCGGAGAGTTTGTCGAGGAGCCCGAGCTCGGTGAGGAGCTCAAG